GAACTCCACATGGGGCTTCGGCCCGTCCCGCCAGCCATCCGGAAAGTCTGCCAGGCTTCTCCAGAGGTGGCTGCGAATGGTTTTTCCTGCTCCAGACGGCCCAAGATGGCCTCCAAGACGCCTGCAAGACAGCCAGCATGGCCTTCAAGACGGCTTAGATAGCCCAAAAATGCACCCAAGATCGCCCAAGATGCCTCCAAGACGGCCTCAAATAGCTTCAAGATGGTTCCAAACGGCCCAAGAGGCCCCCAAGAGCCCCCCAAGATGCCTCCAAGAGGTCCTCAAGGAAGGCCCGAAGAGGCCCAAATCATTGATGTTCTTTAGTTCTTGCAGGATTTAAGCATTTGCTTCGTTTCGGCCTTCTGACGGCCCGAGAGGCCCCCAAGATCGTCCCAAGATCGCCCATGAGGCGCCCAAGAGGTTTGAAGAGAGCCCAAGAGGCCTCCAAGAAGTCCTCCAGAAGGGCCCGAAGAGGCAGGAATCATTGATTTCCCTTAGGGTTTGAAGCATTTTGGCATTTGCTTCTTTTCGGCCTTCCGACGGCTCAAGACGGCCCAAGAGGCCTCCAAGATCGCCCCAAGATCAGCCACGACGGCCCAAGAGGCCCCCAAGACGGCCCCAAGAGGGCCCCAAGACGGCCCAACAGGCCTCCAGGATGGCCAATATGGCCTGCAAGACGGCCAAGGTGGCCTCTACGAACCCCTCATATGCCCCAAGAGGGCTCCAAGACGACCCAGACAGGCCCACAAGACGGCTTCCGACGGCGTCAGACAGGCCAGGGACGCTCTAAGACTGCCAAAGAGGCCCCCAAGAAGCCCTCAAAGGCCTCCCACAGCCCTCCAAGAGGCCCCTAGGAAGCTCCAAGGAGGCCCCAAGAGTGCCCCAAGAGGCGCCCAAGAGGCCTCCTCTTCCTCCTCCTCCTCCCTGCCCTCCTCCTCCTCCTCCTCCTCCTCCTCCTCCTCCTCCTCCTCCTCCTCCTCCTCCTCCTCCTCCTCCTCCTCTGTTGTTCCTCATCCTCCCCCTCCTCCTCTTCTTGCTCCCCCATGCGTTCCCCGAAGTCTTTCCAACCGACTCTGGGAACAACTGGCCCGATAGCTTGGCCAAGCTCTGGCCCAGCTGTCGGCCACAGAGGCGCTTCCAAAGGGGCAGGGGGCGGCGGTGATTCGTCGTAGGCGCCTTCGATCAATTCCCGAAGGGGGAAACCCACCATAGCCCATAGCTCACCACCCAGTGTCTGGAGGTTCTGCCCTCCCCTCACGGTGAAACAGAAACGCGGGCAATACAAGTCAGGAAATGCGGCATTAATCATTCGCCAGAGGAATACGGTTTCCGGCAAAAGTCGGATGTAATGGTGATGCCAATACATCGGTCTCACCGCCCATGATGGGTATATCAGACGTGCTTCTCAAGACTCAATAACCCGTTAAGCTGAACTAGCAGGATGAGGCAGCAAAGGGGGAGGGAACGACGACAAGGCGACGACCCAGGCTTCCACTTTCCCTCGCGCGCAGAGCGCGCTCGATCCTTCAACTTGCAGCTGCGGAAGCGGTGGCAGCAGGTGGCGGCAGGGAGCGAGCTGGGAGAGAAGAGTAAAGACTGCATTTCCCCACGAGCGCGCCACTCGCGATGAAGGTTGCCGCTGCCAGGCGGAGAGCTTACCAGCGGGCAGCCTCGCTGGACGCACCAGCATGGCGACCAGCCACGGGGATTCACTGCAGCGGGCATAAGCCAATCAGTCAATGAGTCAATCGATCGAGCAAGCAACCAATCAACCGGTCACTCAACGAACCGATCAACCAACCAGCCATCCCGCCTGCCAGCCAGCCAACTCAAGGAGACATCAGACGATGCTTCAATCACTTCGCAAATGAACCGCTGATTTGAATCCCAGACACACATGGATCACCAGGCGCGTGAGACTCGTCTCTCCTATGATCTCCCCCCGAGCCCAGGTCAACAACCGCCGATTCAATAGGGGCGGGCTCATCCGCGGAAGTCCGCATCATTTGCTTGGGCTTTAACGCCCAAAGGTGTTTCACGAGAGCTTCAAGACGGTCCAGAAAGGGCCCAAGAGAGATCACCGAGGTCCCGAGGGATCTCCAAGCTAGGCCAAGGCGCTCCAAGAGGGTCCGCATACTGTTAAAATGAATAGAGCGCGAAAATCGGTTGCTTTAGGCTAGCTCGCTGCTCGGCTCAAGGTGATTTTGATGTGGCGCCAGGGAGAAAGCAACCAGAGACCAAGACACTTGAAGCCTGAAGCCAACCCAAGATTCCATGTCAAGACTGCCAAAGGAAAGTCCAAGATGGCCCAAGAGGACAAGGGAAGAGACAGAGGAATGAGAGGGGAAATTATGCGGAGGGAACGAAGTATTCCAGGAGGTGGCACATGTTATCCACCTCTCTCTTTACATGTATGTATGTATATATATATACAGAGAAGAACCATCGCGCGCGCTTTGCACGCGCTTAGGTTCTAGCTAGGCTCGACAGGCTAACGCGTGGCATCTCAAGTGTTGACAATGCCTTGTGCATCCAACGGCCTTCTTGGAATCCCTGCGCAAGGCTCGGAAACGTATAGAAGGGGAAATGCGGAAACCACACAATCACACTTGCCCTCTAGGTGTTCGATGATTTGGGCCCCCCGAAGGCTTCCTGGTATCTTTCTTCGGTGGTGACGGGGGCCTTGATTATGGTCTGTCGTGCAAAAATAAGCCCTGGGTCAATTTGGAATAAGGACGTTCTTAGAACTCCCTTTTTTCTAATTACCATCCTTGGGCTGTGGGGCAGAAGTCTCCGGGATACAGGCCATGGTCTGTTGGGATGGCCCTCGACGCCTTTTTGGCGCCATCTTGGAAATCTTTCGGGGCGTCTCGGGGGGCTCGTGGTGCCTCCAGGGAGCCTCCCAGGAGTCTCCGCAAGCATCTGGGGGTCGCCTCGAGAATCTCTGGGAAAACCTTGGGGCCACCTTGGGGCAAAGCGCTCGTAAGGCTTTGGGAGGTCCCCTCTTTTGTCTCTTTCTTGGCGCGCGCGCGTGCGCTGACGGTCTAGCTAGGCTGGACAGGTGAACTCATGGGATCTCGATTTGTTTACAAAATGGTTTCAGGGGCACCCAAGAGAACACGGAGACGTTCCAAAATAATGCCAAACCAACGTCAGACAGTTCAACCGTTTTCCCGGAAAAGATGTACAATGTGACCCCGAAGTCTTGATGGGGCTCGGGGTGATCTTGAACAAACATGGAATCACTGGATTTTTTTCCAAGGGGGGCCTCCTAACATTTAGTGCGCAGGAATCGGGGGGGCCTAAGAGGCGTGCAGAAGGCTCTTGAGAGGCAGTTCGAAGGCCGCTGGGGGGCTGCTTTGGAGCCTCTTGGGGCCACTGTTGGGCCTCTTGGGGGCACTTGGGGGCCTCTCAAACTCTGTGGAGGACTCTTGGGGCCTCCTGTGGGCCCCTTGGAGCGGAAAGCCGGGATTGTCGATTTGCGTTCCCCCTGTTGGGCGGCTTTTCGGGCCATCTTGGCGCTCTCTCGGGCTGCCTCGGGGCGCTCTTGGGCCGTCTTGGGGCCTTCTTGGCCCGTCTTGAAGGTGTCTGGGGGGCTCTTGGGCGGTCTTGGGGCGGAATTGGGGGCTGTCTTGGGAGCTTTTGGACTTTCTGGGGCGGTCTGAGGGGCCGTTTCGGCCGTCTTGGAGCGTTGGAAGCTATAAAACGCGGGAAGGCTGAAAAATAAGATAACGCACGCAATGAACATCTGCGATGTTGGCCTCTTCGGGCGCTCCCAGGACGCCACTCGGAGCTTTGTTGGGGCCCCTTGGGGGCCTCCTGGGAGCCTGGAGAGCCTTTGGAAGTCTGTCTTGGGCTGATTGGGGGCGTCTTGGGCCGTCCTGTCGCGTTCTGGGGGCTCCGTAGGGGCGTCTTGGGCAGTCCCGGAGCGTTCTGGGGGGTTCCCCTGGATAGCCCTGGGGCGCGGTGCTGGGAGTTGCCCCTAGATGTTCCTGAGGCGTGGGACGCCCCAGGGGGGGGGGCGTATTTGTTTGTATTGTGAGCACATTATATATGCCTCGTGGCTCTTAGCACACTATATACATGCATACATAGCTATGTGTGAATACATTTGTAGATAAAAATATGTTGCTTCCTCGTCTCCTTTTCATCCTCCTCGTCCTCCTCCCTCTCTCATTACTCTTGATCACCCTCATCCTCTACAGCCTTGCTTAAACTGAAGAGCAGTCGGGCTAAGAAATTATACTTGACTCCAAGCGTTCTATCAAACAGACGCTCCAAGCTCCCAGAGAACACCCAAGGTCCAGTCCAGATTCTTACCTTTGTTAAGCGAGAGCTGGAGCTCATTGTGGTTAACGTTCATCAGGTTGACGATGGATGTAACGCTCGCCTCTCTGTCTCCTCTCCTGACCTCCCCCCCTCTCCTGAATCAGGGCCTGCTGGGCCAACTGCAGCCTCAAACCACCCATGAGCAGCGCAGTACCAGGCCGATTCACAAGTAGCTACCTCTTGTCCTGGAGCTTAAACCAAACACCACCTAGCGCAGATGACGCCCTAGGGGGCGCGGGGGCGCGGGCAAGAGATCAGTAATCAACACGATTGAACCCCAAGGGGCCCCCAGGAGGCCCCAAGAGGCGCCCAAGAGGCCGCAGGAGGCCCCCAACAGGCCCCCAAGAGGCCCCAAAAGACCCCCAAGAGGCCCCCAGGAGGCCCCAAGACGGCCCCCAAGAGGCCTTAAATCGGCCCCCAAGTGGCCTCAAATGCTTCCAAATGGCCCCCGAGAGGCCCCCCACGAGATTCCAACGAACATCCACTAGGCTTATAAACCCCAAGCCAGGCACGGTGGCGGGACTTGCCGTCGACAGCTGGATAATCCACGACAGCTTGGCCATCCACATGTTTGAACCCCGCGGGAGGCCGCAAGGCCAGCTGCCCTCTGGCAGCGACTTTTGCTGCAGATGCCCGCTCGAGGCACGGCCGAGTGAGGCGGCACACGCGCATCAGAAGAGGAACTCGTCGGGGACAAACTTGGGTGGGGCTGCAGCCAAGATGATGGAGACAGAATGTCAAGGAGAATGCAGCGTGGTCGTGACTTGGGACAGTGGTGGCAAGGACAACAGCATTTCGCAAGTAAGGATAACGAGATGAGAGGGGAACAGTTGTGTAGAATGTCATGAGGTGCACCAAAGAGAGAGAGCACATGCACCAAGAGTCGGATTCGACAGGGAGCTTACCGGCAGAGGCTCGAGCAGAAGTGGGCCAAGCCGAAAAGTAACAAAAACAAAAAAAAACGCGCGGTTAAATTCTGGAGCATGTGCTGTTGGACCCCCCAAACAGTATGTGCACACAAACGGGTTCCTACTTCGTTAGTGTGAGTTTTCGGCTGGCGGGCGCCAGTGGTCGCCGCGTGCGCTGGCTGTGCTCTCCGGGTTGGGCGGTGGGGTGCCTTGTGGGCGCCTCGTGCTCCTCCTGGGCCCCTGGGGCTTGGCACAATGACCGCCCGTGGGCGCCTGTTGACGCCCGGCCAGCGTTTCCCGATGCACACCTACGAGAGCACCGCATAGCTTGCAACGCTCAAACTGCATCAAGCGGCTTGCAGCGCCAAAGCTGCACGACACGTACTGCACCATGGAGACTGCACGGCAAACACTGCGCAGCATACCTTGCACCAAAATAGCATGCGCCATCTTCCTGCGCCACATGCATGACAACACATATATTGCACCACATTGGCTGCACGCCTTGGGTTACGCAATACATACTGTACCCCGCAGGTTGAACCACATTCCCCTACACATCTTGCACCACTAAGTTTGGACCACTTACCGCGTTATTGTCTCCTATTAGAAACTACTGTCATGCCGAGGCTAGACTTACCGGTCCCGCTCACGGCATTTGTTTGCTTACGACTATTACGCACGGTGGCATACTATCATACCAAATCATACAACCTCAATGCAGTCTCCTTGTTTCACCCCTTCATCCCTGTCAACACATACTATGCGAGAACACTCGCTGTGACGTTACACCTGCATGTTCAATGCATGCCGCACGCCCGAGCACATGTCAAACTCATTGCACCAACTATGTCTCAGGTAAGTCCAAGTTCCGAGTAGATGCAACTAAACTCTGCCAAATAATACAGCGTGGCTCACATTCGGGCGTCCCTGCGCGCGCATGCCGAAATCAATACAACACCACTGGTGTTCTGAGCGTTTCGAAGTAGAGGTGCTCGAGTAGCAAATGGAAACCATTTGTTCGACGCCGACCAACAAAAAAACCAATCTCTGGCCACAGCACCAAAAAACCTCGAACCCCGAACATCCGAAAACATCCGCGAACATCCGAAAACGTCGGGGGGGATAAGCTCAGGGGGGGCATCATCGAGCCCACAATCGCCCACTCATCGCCGATGCGAGAGCGACAGCCCACCCTGCCCAAGAACGTGCGCTCTCGCCATCGGCGGCCTGACGCCCATCGCCAATCTATCGGCGATGCGTCGCCGACTCGAGCTCGAGTTCCCCCCCCCCTGGGCCGGGCCGGTCTCCCCCCAAGAGCCTGTTGTTTTTAGACTCTGGCAAGTTTACTTGCATGGACGGGGGGGGGGGCTGAGCCTGAAGCAAGATCGGGGGTGGGGGGGGGGCGCGGAAATCACGCAAGTCGAAAGGCACTTGCACGCTAGTATTCGCTTGAAGAGGGGCGAGGGGGGGGGGGGCCGGGTCGGTCTCCCCCCAAACGCTGCCCCCGAACGAAGGGCGAGGTCCGGCCCAGGGCGGCTGGGCGGGCGTCGGGCGCCGCCTCGGGGCCCCCGTCGGCGCGGGCAGCTCCCGCTGCAGCGCCCTCGCGGGGGGGGTTCGAAGCGGGCGCGGGGCCGCGCAGGCCTGCCTGCGCAAAGGTTCGAGCAGCTGTTGCCCGCGCAAGGTCGGCGCCCCCAGCCCGAGACTGTTTTCTGTCGTGGGGGCAGCGGTCGTTACCCGGAGAGGGGAGGGGGGGAGAAGATGGGGCCCTGGGAAACAGTGGCGTTTGGGCCGGGTGGCGCACGCCAGGGCGGGGGTGCGCTGTGATCACCATGGTACGCGCGCGGGCGCCAGCATGTGGGGGTGGGAGGGCGCCCAGCCAAGCGCCCCCCCTGACGCCCCTACGTACGATCGCTACCGTTACCCAGGGCGGCGAGGGAAGGGGAGTTTGGCTCGGGCAACGACCGCTATATACGCGCCAGCGAATAGTTAATAACAGCTCCCCCCAAACTGCAATGCTGATGCCGAAACAAATGACTTCATGTGTTTCGTCGGCGTCCGCAGGCCGCGCCGCGTGCGCAACGGAATATCGAAATTAGAAGCAGGGAGGTCTGCGGCAAAACCTGCGCTAAGCTTCGCGGAGGGCTGTAGGCCACGTGACTTCGCAAATCCCATATCGGCAACCAATCGTCTGACTTCTGAACAACGGGCTGGGGTTCAGAATCGGATGGATGCCTGCAACCAAATGAAGCCCAGCGGGGGTATCCGATGCCCCGGCGTCGATCGGGCCCGCAGGGGAAGGGTTCGCAAGAAGGGAGTTGAGCAGGGACCGACCGTCCCAGCATTCTTATAGTCCTACCACGAAATGTTCTTAGAACCCCCAAATGTACTAAGAACAAAAACAATGTTCTTTGAACATAAACCCGATGTGATTAAACAAGATAGACTCCGCCAAACATGTTCTAAGAGCATCTCGTGGAGACCACAAAAGGCTCTTCGAACATTGCTTGGTAGGTCTATGGGCGAGCCAGGACGCCTCGCCACTGCTTGAGGGGAGGGCGGGAGACTGGAGCAGACATGCCGACGGAGGACGTCGATGCGGCGAGCACCCGAAGGCCTCGCATGCCACTGCCGCTTGTAAAGGGGCCCCAGGACACACAACAAAAATACACACAAATAGAAAGATTCCCAATATTTTCTGGGTTTTTGTCTTCCCCCCCACTTGCCATATTTTCCCAAATTTTCTGGGGAATCGAGGATGAATTGTGTCTGTGTGTTTTTGTCCCTCCTGAGCTGGTCAGGAGCGAACAAAGACTGAGCCCTGCCCCCGCCCCCCCCCCCGCAGCCCCACGGGCCGCCGGCACACGTTGCCTAGCGTCTGGAGCAGGGCGCAGCCTCAACAGGCTGTAGATCGGGGGCCACATGCGAACCCTACCCCTACCCCCCACGATTTCTGGGGGGAGGGTGGGGTTCGCTTCGCTCGCGAGGTCCCGAACGAAGTGAACCCCACCCTCCCCCTCAGAAATCGTGGGGGTAGGGGTAGGGTTCGCATGTGGCCCCCTAGTAGAAGATCAAACGCCCAAGCGCAACTCCGAGATCCCCAGGCCCAACTGGAAAGGAAATGGCCCAACGCCGGAAAAAATAGCATGGCGAAGGACCCAACCATGTGCAGTTGTGAGCACCCTCGTTGCATGCACCGCATTCGGAGGAGCTTCTTATAGTGCCACGAAACGTGTGAGGGGTGTGCCAAAAACTGTACTGTGGGCGCATGCGAAAGCAGCCACTTGGGCCGTCGGTGGAATTACCTATGGGGCCAGGAAGCGCGTGAGAGGTGTGCCGAAATACGTGCGGTGGGCGCATGCGAACGCAGCCACTGGGGCCCTGCCGAAGTCGGTGCGGTGGGCGCATGCGAACGCAGGCGCTGGCGCCTTCGGTGGAGCTCCCTATGGGGCCTCGAAACGCGTGAGGGGTGCGCCGAAACATGCGTGGGTGACGCATGCGGGCGGTGGCACTGGCGCCTTCGGTGGAGCTCCCTCCCTTTAGGGCCAAGAAACGTGTGAGGGGTCACAAAATAGATGTGGGTGACGCATGCGGGCGGTGGCACTGGCGCCGGTGGAGCTCCCATGGGGCGCGAAACGCGTAAGGGATGTACCGAAATGGGTGTGGGTGACGCATGCGGGCGGTGGCACTGGGCCTTCGTTTGAGCTCCCTATGGGGCCACGAAACGTGTGAGGGTGTGCCAGAATGGGTGTGGGTGACGCATGCGGGCGGTGGCACTGTGGCCTTCGGTGGAGTTCCTTGTGGGGCCACGAAACGTGTGAGGGGTGTGCCAGAATGGGTGTGGGTAACGCATGCGGGCGGTGGTACTGTGGCCTTCGGTAAAGATCCCTATGGGGCCACGAAACGTGTGAGGGGTGTGCCGAAACGTGCGTGGGTGACGCATGCGGGCGGTGGCACTAGGGCCTTCGGTGGAGCTCCCTATGGGGCCACGAAACGTGTGAGGGGTGTGCTGGAATGGGCGTGGGTAGCGCATGCGGGCGGCGGCACTGGCGCCTTCAGTGGAGCTCACTATGGGGCCACGAAACGTGTGAGGGGTGTGCCGAAATGAGTGGAGTGTGGGTAACGCATGCGGGCGGTGGCACTGGGGCCTTCGGTGGAGCTCCCTATGGGGCCACGAAACGTGTGAGGGGTGTGACGAAATGGGTATGGGTGACGCATGCGGGCGGTGGCACTGGCGCCTTCGATGGAGCTCCATATGGGGCCACGAAACGTCTAAGGGGTATGACGACATGGGTTTGGGTAACGCATGCGGGCGGTGGCACTGGGGCCTTCAGTGGAGCTCCCTATGGGGCCACGAAGCGCTGCATTGGGTGGGTGAAACGCAAGGAGGAGGGAGGAGTAAGGAGTAGGGAGGAGGAGGAAGGAAGGAAGGAAGGAAGGAGGAACGCGGGGACCGTCTCTTCAAAACGAAGACCCAACACCACAGGATGGTTGGGAACAATGACAACACTCACTGTTTCAATCTATCTCGTTGCACAGATACCCGCAACAATGTTGCGGCATTCATTCATCATGTTCGAGGCCATAGCACGGCAAAGCTGGCGATAATCCGCCGGCCCCCTTGTGAGGCCACCGGGCTGTAGGACGAAGTTGCTGTTCCCTGCGCCAGCAGTTGTAGTTTCAAGTCTCCAATGTTACAAGAGGCCGTAACCCCTTGTAAATTACGTACTGTGCGCGTACCCGAGGCCACAAACCCTCGCACGTTACTCACATGTTGCGCCCCCGAGGCAACAAACCGTAGTGAATTAACCAGTACTTGCGCCCCCAAAGCAAGGAACTTTCGCGCATTATTCAATAGTCGCCGCGAATTTCGCCGCATTCGCATTGCCAGAGCCAAGAGTGCTCCAGGAGCCCGAAGATGGTTCCAAGACGGCCCAAGAGGGCCAAAAGAGGCCCCAAAAGCGCTCCAAGAGGCCTCCCGAGAGAGCCCCAAGAGGCCCCAATCATACATACACGTTCCAAACCAAGCTTGTCGGAAGATTCGGGCCTTCTCGCACGCGCGGTTTTCCGACGCTCCAAAACGGCTTAAGAGGCTCCCGAGACCGCCCCCAGGCAGCCCAGGACGCCTCCACGAGGGCCCCGAGACGGCCCGAGACGGTTCCAGGATGGCCCAAGAAGCGCTCGAAAACCGAACATTCGACGTGCGTGCCCCGAGAAGCCCCCAGGGGGCGCCAAGAGAGGCCGCAAAGAGGCCGCAAAGAGGCCACAGGCGGCGCCCAAGACGCGCCCAGAAGGCTTCCAAGAGGCCCAAAAGATACCCCAAGAGGCCCCTGCCAAGACGCGCCCAAAAGGCCTCCAAGAGGCCCAAAAGATACCCCAAGAGGCCCGCGAGAGGCGCCCGAGCCGCCTCCGACAGGCCCCCGAGAAGCTCCCCGCGACACCCCAACCCATACACAAGGGGGGCCTCGAACACACGACCCAGGCGCGGTGGCTGGATGGGCAGAAGGCCACTGGGACAACTTCAGAGTCTCGATGTGCGCTGATGATTCCTATCCCTCCTCCTCCTCCTCCTCCTCATCCTCATATCCGCTTCCGCATGATGTCCCCAGATGCGCCAAGGCAGCGCCGAGACGCACCGACGCGACTCTGAGATATCCCGTTCTGACAGGGAGGGGGCCGCCGGCAGGGGGCGAAGCCCTTGCGGATATGCAGCGGCGATGGAGGTGCTCGGGCGCATTCCTTCAGAGGCGTTCCGAGCTGACGCTGGCGATTGCACACCTCAGCAAATACGGTGGCGCGCCTCAGAAACTGGACACGATGGGGCCTGCCACATTACCGAGCTATTTGGATGTTTAAGAAACGCTGGCAAACACTACGACAACAGTCCATCATCCGGCGCGAGACGCCAAAAGGTAGCGCGGCGCTGCCCATGCTCAACCGAACCTGCTTGGACTCAGCGAGACGGGCGAAGCCCGCGGGGCTGCTCGCGGAACGGAACGGCTGCCCGAGAGCCTGCAACCACCTGGCGCGTGGCGCGGCGATCCAGACCCTCGACGCCGCGCCGGAAGAGACCCATCCATTCAGAAGCGAGGAGGGAGGAGGGAGGAGGAGGAGGGAGGAGGGAGGAGGAGGAGGAGGAGGAGGAGGAGGAGGAGGAGGAGGAGGAATTTAGCAGCAAATCGTCGCGGCTTTGAGGATGCCTCGAGCGGCGGCCGTCCTGGTGTGAGGATGTCTCGGGCACCAGCGCCGCGGTGGCGAGGATGCCTCGAGCGGCGGTGCCGCGGTCGTGGGGATGTCTCGAGCGGCGGCGCGTCCCAGGGAGGGGGGGGGTACTCCAGATTTCGTAATAAAAGGGAGGGGGTCTGGACCCTCCAAGACAAGCCATTTTAGATCTCCCCCGTGGGAGAACCCTCCAAAACATCGTCCCCAGACCCCCCAGGCCCTCCAAGATAGCCTGGAAGAGACCCCCCCCCGAAATGAGACCCCCCTCCCTTTATTACGAAATCTGGAGTATGTCAGGGAGGGGGGGGCGCGCATAACACAGCGAGGGGAGGACATAGCACAAGCCAGGTGGGGTGACTTTGGGCAAGGTCTCGGGACCTGGGCAAGTTCTCGGGATCCTGGGGGCGGAATGCTCGCGGAATCGCTGATGCTTTCAAAAGTGTTGTTTCTAGACAGTTGTTTGCGATGCATGTTTTTATTGTTATGTTTCCTGTGTTTTTTTCGAATCTGAATTTTGCTACCAAAATTGTTTTTTCGTTGCGACAGTGTTTTGGCACCGAGTATATAGGACGCCTGTTCGGTAGACTAGCATCTCCTGGTATCATCCAGGCGTGAAACATCGTCGGATGAGAAACGGCGGTGTCCTCGGCTGCGGCCTCCGCAAGCAGCAGGGCCTCCCAGCTGCGCCCGCGCATACATTCACCCACGCACCCATCCCAACAAATGCACACGCCTATCCACTCACCTGTTATGCATCATGCCTTTCTCTCCATCCAGCGTGCTTGCATCCAATAGACCAGTCGTCAACCTAGCTACATACATCCACCGGTCAACCTGTTGTCCACTTGTCAACATGGTCTCCATCCATCCATCCATCCGTCCACACACATACACACATACATATACAGATAAATGCATGTGTATAGAAACACATATGAATACACATGTATGTCTATGAGTTATGTAAATGGGAGACTGCACTGACGATTCGCAACATGCAATTTGGTCCTTGAGGCTTGGCATGCAGGCAAGAAGGCAATAACGTAACAGAGCATTCAATGATAAGATCGTTGTTGCCTTTTCTTCTGGCATCGCTGTTGTAATCATGTTATTTGTTCCCAACCATCCTGTGGTGTTGGGTCCTCGTTTTGAAGAGACGGTGCCCCGCGTTCCTCTCCTTCCTCCTCCCTCCTCCTCCGCCTCCTCCCCCCTCCCATCATCATCATCATCATCATCATCATCATCATCATCATCATCATCATCATCATCATCATCATCATCATCATCATCATCATCATCATCATCATCATCATCATCATCATCATCATCATCATCATCATCATCATCATCATCATCATCATCATCATCATCATCATCATCATCATCATCATCATCATCATCATCATCGTCACCCACACCCAATTCGGCACACCCCTCACACGTTTCGTGGCCCCATAGGGAGCTCCACCGAAGGCCCCAGTGCTGCCGCCCGCATGCGTCCCCTACACCCATTTCGGCACACCCCTCACACGTTTCGTGGCCCCATAGGGAGCTCCACCGAAGGCCCCAGTGCTGCCGCCCGCATGCGTCCCCTACACCCATTTCGGCACACCCCTCACACGTTTCGTGGCCCCATAGGGAGCTCCACCGAAGGCCCCAGGGCTGCCGCCCGCATGCGTCCCCTACACCCATTTCGGCACACCCCTCACACGTTTCGTGGCCCCATAGGGAGCTCCACCGAAGGCCCCAGGGCTGCCGCCCGCATGTCGCATTTCGGCACACCCCTCACACGTTTCGTGGCCCCACCCCATAGGGAGCTCCACCGAAAGCCCCAGGGTGCCGCCCGCATGCGTCCCCTACACCCATTTCGGCACACCCCTCACACGTTTCGTGGCCCCATAGGGAGCTCCACCGAAGGCCCCAGGGCTGCCGCCCGCATGCGTCCCCTACACCCATTTCGGCACACCCCTCACACGTTTCGTGGCCCCATAGGGAGCTCCACCGAAGGCCCCAGTGCTGCCGCCCGCATGCGTCCCCTACACCCATTTCGGCACACCCCTCACACGTCGTCCACCGTGCTTCACACCCCTCACACGTTTCATGGCCCCATAGGGAGCTCCACCGAAGGCCCCAGTGCTGCCGCCCGCATGCGTCCCCTACATCAATTTCGGCACACCCTTCGCACGCTTCGTGGCCCCATAGGGAGCTCCACCGAAGGCCCCAGGGCTGCCGCCCGCATGCGTCCCCTACACCCATTTCGGCACACCCCTCACACGTTTCGTGGCCCCATAGGGAGCTCCACCGAAGGCCCCAGGGCTGCCGCCCGCATGCGTCCCCTACACCCATTTCGGCACACCCCTCACGCGTTTTGTGGCCCCATAGGGAGCTCCACCGAAGGCCCCAGTGCTGCCGCCCGCATGCGTCCCCTACACCCATTTCGGCACACCCCCTCACACGTTTCGTGGCCCCATAAGGTGTGCCACGGAAGAAGATACTCACAATGGCGGGACCCACGACTGCATATGGTCGGGTCCTTCGCCAGGCTAATTTTCCGTTCCTCATGTGTCCTCTTCCTCTTCCTCATTCTCGCCCTACCTTTCGACTTCGTCCCCATCCTGAACTCTTTTAATGGGAGCTCATCCTGGTTAGAGAGCCTCTTGGGGGCCTCATGAAAGTTTCAGTGGCTTCTTGGGGCCTTCCGGGAGGGAGCCTCCTGGGTTCTTTCTAGGGGCCCCTGGGGGCGTCCCCGGGCCACCCTGTTTCCAACCGCGGTCTCCCTGACCGAGCGCGATTCGCTGGCCTCTTGGGCGGTCTCGGACGCCCGGAAGACCGAACAACAGAACACGCCCGCAACGTTTTCTGAATTTCGGATGCCTCTTGGGCAATTTTATTGGGGGGCCGTCTTCGGGCGTCTGGTGGGTGTCGGGCCGTTGTGGGCTCTCGCGGGGCCGTTCGGTCGCCCTCCTGACCAACTTGGGCCCGTTGCCTAGGCCGAACAAGGGCTTCAGGAACCCCGCCCGGAAAGAACAGGGGACCACCTGCAAGGGCGTCCACGGTGTCCCTGGGGCCAAGGATCTAGGGGAGCCCTGTTATTTTTATCGGGGGGGCCGCTGGGTCCCAGATTATAAAAAAAACGGCAGACAGGGAATACGCATAATTATATACATGTGTATATATATAGACTAGAACCATCGCGCGCGCTTCGCGCGCGCTCAGGTTCTAGCAGGCCCCAGACCTTCACGAATTCATTGCTCCACTGAAGTAGTGGACCACAGTCCACGCATGCCAATCTGCATTCCGAAAGGCCTTGGAGGAAAATGGTTGTGTAGGGGGGCGGAGGCCATATGAATCGGGTTCCCAGAAAGCCTTCTGGAAGCGTGGGTTCGGGGGCGTCTTGGGGAGCCTGTTGGGGCGTGCCGTCGTCGTCGTAATGTCGTCGTCGCCTTTTGGGGCGCGCCGTCGTCGTCGTCGTCGTCGTCGTCGTCATCGTCGTCGACGTCGACGGCGTCGTCGTCGTCGTCGTCGTCGTCGTCGTCTTCGTCGTTTCATCGTCGTCGTCGGTTCAAGAGGGCACTTGGGGTAACTGTGTGCGAAACGATCTGCGGAGGGCCGCGAGAAGGCGATCAGTCATGTTCCCAATCAACTTCCCAGACAGCTCTCCTGTAGCATGATGGTACTTCGAAGCCTCCGGGGACTCGCGGGCCCATGATGAACCATGTCCCCGGAAGGTTTTCTGAAGCATGTCCCCGGAAGGTTTTCTGGGGACATGATTTCTTGGGGTGTGTTTGGGGGCCTCTTGGGGGTCTTTTGGGGCTTCCTGGGGGCCTCTTGGGCACCTCACGGGGCTTCGTGGGAGCCTCTTGGTGGCCTCCGGAGCCTACATGCGGCCTCTAAGGCCAGAGACCTCGAAATATGGGTTGGCGGTCCCCCTCTGGGCCCTCTCTTGGGGAGCTCTTGGGGCACAGTTGGGTTGACTGGGGAGCCTCATGGGCCATCTTGGGGCCCTCTTCCGGGCCTCGTGCCTCGTCTTGGAGCGATCTGAAGGGCCTCCGAACGAGGCCGTGAGGGAGCGCTGGGAAGCGGGGGAAGCGAATGAATGAATGAATGCAAGCCGGGTGCCGAAGCACATGGGCAGTAATGCAACACTATGGGCAGTAGTGTCGCACAGCGGCTTTCCAGGCTTCTGCTGGGATTGCCGCGAGCTGTCGAAAATCATACGCATTGCTCTCGCAGACTCTCTTCGCATGCTTGCACAATTCGTTCGTCCATGACTGTCTTGGCCTGCCCCGGGGTATGCTGGCCGGCGGACGCAGCTCCGAAGAAGACGGCTGGAAGACCGCACGCCGCACAGGATGATCAACCGGTTGCCGGGCAATCTGCGCAAACAAAAACATAATTGACGGTGCAACAAGATGCGGCTCAACGGCGGCCAGCGGGCCCTGTCCAGAACTACAGCGTTCGAGATACGACTAATGTATGAATGCGATATCCTTAACACCTTCCTCAGACACCGCACGTGGAAGCTGTCGAGCTTGGCCAACTCATGTTTCCGGAGCCACGCCGCGTGCAATCCGTACAGCAACTTTGTCTGCACGCAGGCTTCGAAGATCTGCAATTTCCGTTGTGTGGACAAGGTGGAATGAGACCAGACTCGGGCAAGGGTGTCGAACTCAGCCATGGCGCAACCAAGCCGCCCGCTCAGCTCGGAAGCGATCGATCCATCTGCCGCCAAAACACTCCCCAAATAAACCATGGAGTCCTTCTTGGGGATCTGGGCGCCGTCTGGACTCGTCACGCTCCCCTGGCACCGGAATGTCAGCAATTCAAGCTTCCCCCAATTGAATTTGAGGCCGTAGTTCGTGCCAGCGGCAGCTATAGCCGTCATGTACTCCTGCGCGCGCTCCGTGCTAGTGGCTACGATGAGCGTGTCATCAGCGTACACGAGATCCTCCGTGTCCCCCATGCGGTCGCCCAGCGTGACCCGGGCGTCGCGCAGCAGCACGGTCATCATCACGGCGAAGAGAAAGGGTGAAAGAGGAAAAGAGGACAACCTTGACAGATTCCCGCGTGCTGCTCGCGAGTCCCGGACGTCACGCCGGCCTCGCGAAGCGCGAAGTTCCTGCCCGTGTAGATGGCTTGAATCATTGTCAAGATCTTCCCTGGGACTCCGAAGCGCTGCAGCGCTTTCAGCAGAGGCCCCGGCATGACGCTGCCGAGCGCCTTGGCCCAGTCCAGAGCGAGCAGCACGAGCTGGCCCTCTGCGCTCGACCACGTTTCCTCCAGCCTCCGCCTGGCGAGGAAGAAAGCGTCGGTGGTGCCATGGCGCGATTTGAATCCAAACTGGGTGCCCCAGATGCGGCCCTCGGCCTATCTGCGCCCTATCCGTTTTCACAAAGCTCTTGACGACGTAATTCAAACGTCTCTCTTCTGCCTGGTCGCCGCGTGTTCTGGCCTCGGCGCGCTTCACGATGAGCGTCATGGCGCGGTCTGAATCCACGGCTTCCGCGGCGCCGGCGGCGCTATAGGTAGCGTGGCGGCTGCCTGTTTGAAGGGAACCACGGCTGCAGCATCGATTTCGTTGGCCCCGCCGTCGCCCGCGTCGGCGGCCTCCATCTCGTCGGCAAAGGCCATGGCGAAACGGTTGGCATGCTCTGGCAGCCGGAGAGCCCGCAAGTCAGGCCGAGTCGGTTGCTCGCGGCGGGCCTCGATCGGCACCATTATGTCCACGTCCGCCTGCACGAGGAAGTGGTGAGACGCCAGTGCCAAGTCCTTGTTGCTTGCCACTGATTGCAAATGCTCAACCCATTTCTGTGAAACCAAAACAAAATCGATCTGGCCAAAATTGTCCGGCGTGCCAGGGTGAGACGGCTTCTTGCCCACGTTGTAGCAGGTGACCTGACGATGTGCTGGCTCATGAAACATTGTGTTGCCGATGCAGAGTTTGTGATGCTCGCACAGCTCAACCAGCAGGCTGCGGTTGGAAGCGGGGTTGTGCTCAGCCTCCGGCTGCCCAAACACATGCGATCCCATGATATGCTCTTCTTGCGGGTGGCGCCTGTGCAGGCGCGCGTTAAAGTCTCCGAGCAAAATCATCGGGCCGCGCCGCGACGTCTGAGCGAGGAAAGCTCCAAGAGATGTGAAGAACCGCTGCCTGTCCTCGAAGTTCTTCCCGTTATGCGGCGCGTACGCGCTGCCAGCGATAGCTTTCCCGCCTTGCACCCGCAGCTTCACGTATGCCATTATTGCTGACTGCTGCCTGAAGCCGACCACACTCGAGCACAGCCGCGGAGAGATGATGAAGCCAACGCCTGCCGTCTCCTTATCCTCCTCAGCCGCGGACCCAGAGAAAATGAACAAGTAGCCGCCGTCCGATACGTAGTAGTCGGATCTGTCCCTGTGAGTCTCTTGCATGCACAATATGTCAATGGTTTGTTGGCGCCTGTGCCATTCCAGCTCGATCTCTTTCGCGTCCGTGAAACCCTCAACGCTCCAGGTGGCAATCCGGAGCTGCCGCGAGCAAGGTCTGAGGCCGCCACCTCGGAAGACACGTGCCTGTCCAGCCCGGCTGGGTAGAAGCTGCTCCACAGTAGTGCCGACTGTGGGTGAAACTACGTCGTTCGTGCATTCATGAATTCTCAAACGATGGTGGCTTATAGTTGCAGTATTGCCGACTGCTGCCGGTGAAACTCTGCCCATGTGCTGTGCGTCCTAATGGGGCCCGCTGCCCCTGCCCTTCCCTTTGGTTCCGCCCTTCATGCCCTTGCCGGCACGAGCGAGCAGATCCACAGACTTTGTCGCGAGGTCCTTGATGAGGGGGTGGCCGTGCAACTCTTCCCACGTTGCCCACTCGCCGTGCCACTGGTACTCAACGTCGTGGTCCTTCACGGTCGCTGTCAACGCGTGCTCGCCACCAACGACCACCTCGTAGGGGTCCCCGTCCGACACGTTCACAACGTACGGCACTTTGAACTCCTGCTTCAGGATCCGCTTGAATCCAAGGCAAAAGTTGCGGGCCGCCCGGTTCGCTGGTGAGCGATCTTCGCTAGCCCACACCTTCTTCTCGCTGTTTGTGGGGGCGCTGGCACGGAGGACCTCGACTGCACGGTCACGCTCGTCTGTAGTGCCAAACTCTGCAAACATAATGCCCTTGAACTCGCCTTTCGAGTAAATCTTGGACGGGGCCGGCGAGCACAAGGCCTTGAGGCGCTCCGTCAGCCACTGGAATTTTCGTGGCAAGGTCCCCCAGGCCGTCCAAATTTCCAACGACCATGCTCAAGGACCTCTTGGACATCAGCGGGGGAAGCGAGAACGCCTAAATCCTTCAAAAACCATCGGATAATTAGTGAATCTTGCCTCCCAGGGCCCTCTTGGGGAGCCTCTTGAGTCCGTCCTGGAGCGTGTTGGAGTCCTCGTCGGCTGTCTTGAGGGCATCTTGGGCGTCTTCGGGGCCTCTTGGGACCGTCTAGGGCCCTCTCAGGACCTCCATTAGCCTGTCGTGGCCTGCTTCGGGGCGGGCTCGGGCCGCCTCGGGACCCCTCTGGGCCTTCTCTTGGCGCGCTCTTGGGGCACACTTGGGTTGTCTGGGGAGCATGCGGGGCCGTCTTGGGGGCCTCGTCGGGGCCTCATGGGCCTTCTTGGGGCGATCTGAAGGGCCTCCGAGGCCGTGAGGGAGCACTGGAAATCGGGAAAAGCGAGAACGCCCACATGCAAAACACTCGGAAAACGAGCGAATCTTGCCTTCCAGGGCCCTCTTGGGGAGCCTCTTGAGTCCGTCCTGGAGCGTGTTGAAGTCCTCGTCGGCTGTCTTGAGGGCATCTTGGGCGTCTACGGGGCCTCGTGGGACCGTCTTGGGCCCTCTCGGGACCCCCTTAGCCTGTCGTGGCCTGCTTCGGGGCGGGCTCGGGCCGCCTCGGGAGCTATGGACCCCCCCCCGCAACCCCCGGTGGGCACCGATGGGGGGGAACAGGCAGCGGCCCGCCCACCCCCCGGGCCTACTCCGAGATAGAGCATCATGTTCCCAGGAAGCTTTCGGGCAGCATGATTTGTGGCCTTCTGGCCTTGTCGGCAAGCCTATTGGAAACATGGTTGGGGCGGTGGGCGGAAGCCCAAGGAATCATGTTCCTGGAAAGCTATCTGGGAAATACGATTTACCGAAGTGTCTTGGGGGCCCGCAGGGGGCTTCCCTGGGGGCCCCTTGGGGGCCTATTGGGGCTTCCGGGGGGCCTCTTGGGAGCCGCCTCGCGGGGCCTCCGGGGGCGTCCATAGGAGCCTCTCAGGCAAGAGACCTTGAAATGTCGCGCTCTTCGGGCCCTCTTGGGTCGGCTCTTGGGGCTCTCTTGCGGCGCTCTTGAGGCCCTCTTGACTTATCTGGGGAGCCTACTGGGCCGTCTCTGAGTTTTTTTTTGTCCCCCCCCGAAGGCTTGTCTTCGCCAAGCTCTGGAACAAAAAGACCTGCTACGATACAGGCTTGCGAGACAAAATGCAGGATTGGACGAGGCGCGCAGGTCAGAGCTCGTGCGTGTCGGGCGCGTTCGGGCGCTGGACAGGAAGCAACTTTGTCCTCTCCTGAGGTGCTCGTCCGCGCACGCCGCAGCTCGGGCCCGATCCCATGGGTACCTCCACCACATCCTCCGCCTCCCATACATCCGCACTCCAAACCTATCTACGCGAACTAGATCGACGTGTACCCAAACTTTAGGAGGCAGAAGGACAGCGCTGGCATGGTCACCAGCGTCACCACTGGCGCGAACACGACGTCGAGGACACCACAGCGTCTGAACGAGTTCGTGATCTGGTAAGTGTAGCACCACACCAGGGCAAAAAAAGTGGTCGACAAGATGGTGGTGGCGCTGAGAGTGGTCACGACGTTGGTGCATGCACTCGCCGACGGGCTCTCGACGAACCTCGACGGAAGCTCGTCCCAATCCAGCCTGAACAGCGGCGCCGAGTTCATAATGGATTCCGTGCTCATGACGTTCATACCGATCAGGACACCGTAGCAAAGTGCCAAGAAGCGACGGAGGAAATACTGAAGCTGCTTCTGGTCCATGGACTCCACAAAATCCAAAGCATCGCCCTTATACTCGTGCGCCTGCATGTCGGCGAAGGCCTTCCGGATGAGCGCCTGCGCCTCCTCGTCCAGGAAAGCGAGGGCGAGCACGCCGTCGACGTTGTGGACAAAGCAAACGACGAGCCCTTGGATTACGAAGGACACTGGTAACGACACTCCAGAGGCCCAGGGACTGGCGAGCACGAGGCCGGCGTAGGCGTACACGACCACGCCAGGCAGGACGAGCATCCTGAGAACGAATATCAGCCACGCCACGCTGGTGATCACGAAGAGCCTCGGGCCGGCGACCACGTGCTTGATCCGGTGCTCGAGCAGTTCTGCGATTTGCGCCTGCCTGTCCATGTCTGCGATGAGGGAAATCAGCACCAGGCCCGTTGTGCAAATGAAGACGACTAGCGGAGCCAGCGTGAGCTCTGACCGGAAATTCACCAGGTAATCGCATCGGTCTGGCTCGGTGTCGGCTGTTTCGCAGTATGCGACGGCCTCCGACAAGGTCTCTTCAGCGGCCGCATACGCAGCAGCGTTGTATCGAGAAGGGAGGCTATCGTAGTCCTGGCTCTCTAAGCTGCTGGCCCACCTGCAATCGTCGCACATGCCCGGGCTTCTTCGGAAACCATTGTAGTCCTTGCTTGGTGCGCACCACATGCCCTCTCGGCAGTCCGCATCAAGGCTGCAAGATGGGTGCAACGACGCGAAGGTCATAATCTGCAACAAGAAACACTGCATGAAAAGCAACAACACGGACGGCACCAGCGCGAGGCACCGGGTCGCGGGGCCAGAGTTGGCCCGCGTGGCCGCGCACAGGCTCCAGGTGTGCACACCGACACAATTCAGATGCTTCTTGGTGGTGGCGATGAACTCAGCGTAGCTTTGCTGCAGGCCGTCAGGGTCCACCTTCCCTCCCAGGGTCTCCACGTGCTCGTTCTCCAGCTCTGGGCGCTTGACCCCCGCTGCGGGAGCCGGCGCAGGCTCGGCGGGGAACCCGCGACCGTTGGGCACGAACTGGTGCCTCTCCAGCCTGAGGAGCCGCTCCGAGAGGGCCCCGATGTGCGCGGAGATGGCGGCGTTGCTGGCCTCCAGGTTCCTGGCGGACCGCCTCTCCACCTGGTCGATGTCAGGCCTGCGGCTCTCGGGGCGATTGTCCGCGGTGCAGCTGTCGAACATCGGCGGCGCGCGCGCGGGGGCACGCGCGCTCCGCGGAGCGGGGCCTGGGGTCGTCTAGGCCCTGGAGCCAGCCTCGCTTGAGCCAAAGTGGCCACGGAGGGGCCGTCTCTGAGCCTTCTTGGAGCCTCTTCGGCCGTCTTGCAGCGATCTGAAAGGCCTCTGACGCGGTCCGGGACCGCGGGGAGGCGGAACATGGGAGAGCGCAAGAATGCTTCAAAAACCATTGGAACACGCATAATTCTCCGCTTCTGGGACCCTTTGGAGGGGCCTCTGGAGGCGCTCTTGGGGCGTTTAGGCGGCGTCGTCGGCCGTCCTGAGGCCATCTTCGACGTGTCCGGGGCTCCTGCATGGGGGCTGTCTTTGGGCGTCCTGGGAACCCGGAAATCATGTTCCCTGAGAGGCTTCCGGGAACATGATTTCGAACGAGGCCCTCTTGGGCCTCCTGGAGGCCGTCTTGGGGGCCTCCTGGGCCGGCTTTGGGGCCTCTTGGGCCGTCTTGGGGGGTTCCGTGAGCCCCACAAAACGACTTTTTTGGGCCGTCTTGTGCCCTCTTGGGTCTCTCTTGGGCTGTCGTGGGGTTCCTCAAACGCGTCTGGGGCACTGCGAAGACGAAGCCAGGGAATATGCTGAATATGTACGTTTGACTACGAGAACGGGGGATTTCTGCCTCTTGAAGGCCCTCTTGGGGCCCTCTTCGGCCATCTTCAAGCCATCTCGGGCCTCGCTGAGGCTGTCATGGGGCCCTCTAAGGGGGCCCTGGGAACCCGGGAATCACGTTCCCGGAGAGGCTTCCGGGAACATGATTTCGAGCGGGGCCCTCTTGGGCCTCCTGGAGGCCGTCTTGGGGGCCTCCTGGGCCGGCTTTGGGGCTCTTGGGCCGTCTTGGGGGGTTCCGTGAGCCCCACAGGACGACCCTCTAAGGCCGTCTTGGGCCCTCTTGTGTTTCTCTCTGGCTGTGTTGGGGCTCCTCGGGGGCGTCTGGGGCACTGTGAATACGAACCAAGCGAGCATGCTGAAAATGCACGTTTCACGATGGGAATGGCCAGATTTTTGCCTCTTGAAGGCCCTTTTGGGGCCCTCTTCGGTTATCGTTAAGCCACCTCGGGCCCTCTTGGGGCCCTCTTGGGCCTCGCTGAGGCTGTCATGTGAGCCTCTTGGGCGTCGTCGGAACCCGGAAATCATGTTCCCGGAGAGGCTTCCGGGAACATATCGATCGAGGCCCTCTTGGGCCTCTTGGGGGGCCTCCCTGAGGCCGTCTTGGGGCCCTCCTGGGCCAGATTTGGGGCCTTTTGGGCCGTCTCGGCGGGTTCCGTGAACCCCACAGGCCGACCCTTTCGGGCCGTCTTGGGCCCTCTTGGGTCTCTCTTGGGCTGTGTTGGGGCTCCGCGGGGGCGTCTGGGGCACAGCGAAGACGAAGCCAGCGAGTATCCCGAAAACGTACGTTTTACGCAAAACAATTAGCTGATGTTGCCTCATGAGGGCCCTCTTGGGGCCCTCGTCGGCAATTTTGAAACCATCTCGAGCCCTCTTGGGGCTCTCTTGGGCGTCTTCGGGGCCTCCTGAGGCTTTCTTGACCATCTGTACGGCCCGCGTGGCCTGCCGTGAGCAATTTGGAAGCGGCCCGTGGCAGTCCCACGGGGTCTGCGACCCCCCGAACGTTCCGGGGGGCGCCCATGGGGGATGATGGCACCGGCCCGGGCCCCCACCCCGGTCTACTCATATCTACATATCTATATATATATATATATATATATATGTGTGTGTGTGTGTGTGTGCATGCGCATGCGCATACACTAAAGCCATCGCGCGCTTCGCGCCCGCTCAGGTTCTTCGGGACCCAAGCTCGCAATGCGTTATGGAAGGTTGGGCGACGGTTTCGGATGCGACTTCCGTCCGAGGGTTTCTCCCTCCCCCTTGCCCTGGCCGCTGTTCAACCCCAGATGACGATGCAGAGGGTATGGATGTTAAGGATTGCGCGAACGCTGGTGTGGTGGATGACTGCGACTATGTAAATGCGTACGATGGGAACGGTTGCGATGGTGATGTCGACGACGATGTGGATGACGATGATGAGGGTGATGGCAAGCATGAAGGCGACACTTGGGCTGATGATCGAATCAGAACCCATCGGGGGCGGCCAGATATCCCATTCTACGAGAGCCCCCAGGATCGGCTTACACCCGGGCATAAGTTTGCGATGCGTGGCCAAGCGCCGTTGCGACTCACAGCTGTGGATCTTTGTCGCAGACGGTTGTCGCAGTGCCCCCACACGCCGCCTCGCCTGCGCTCATATCAGATCCGCACCATCGTGTGGAACACCCCGTCACAACTGGCGCAGTGGGCTCCGAGGGGCGCTCAGGTGGGCCAGGGGCCCTCGAAGCAACAGTAATATCCACGCGGTTTCGCGCTCCAAATTCGTCGCTAGCAGATCGGTTCCTACGAGGCTCTCCGCCCGCAGCCTGGCCTCCAAAATGACTCCTGCCCATGCTAGGCTCGCTCGTGCGAGCGCGGGCAAGAGAGGCTACCAGCCCGGGCACCGGTTGGCTCGCGCTGCTCTGGGCGGGGGAGGGGTGAGATAGGCGCGCGGAGAGCGGAGGCCCACAAAAGGAAGGAAAGTTAGGATTCCGAGGGTCGGCGTGCTAGCAGCTGTACTCAGACGTTCCACGAGCTCCTCAGTCCGTCGTTTCCTCCTGAAGCGTCCAGACTCTTACTCCCCCATCGTCGCTTCGAGCTCGTGGAGGCCCGTGTGGGCCACGCGCCCCAAGTGGCCCATCGGGACCGCGCCCTGCATGTAGTCCGCGCCCGCCTGGACCAGCGCCGCTAGCGCTGGTTGGTAGTTGAGCTTGCCGTCAGCGAAGCTCAACGCAAGTTTGACTTGGCCCTCCTCGCTGCAGCCGGTGATCTTCGCCATCGGCACGACTTCTCACATCTCCTGGGCGTTGACCTGCTGCCGCTGCTTCCTGGGGCCCTCGAGCTGCGTCTGGCTCGCGCGCCCCGCCGCCGCACTTTCCTCCAAAAGGCCCTCGAAGAGCCCCCCGTAGCCCGCCGCTGAGATGGAGCTCATCTCTGAGACCTCCTGGTCGGCCTATGCCTTCGGGGGCCCTGGCCGATGCATGTCATTCTGTTGCCCGCGCCCACGCTTTGACTCCGGCCGTCGCTTTGACGGCCGCCTGGGGGCCCGACGACATCGCGAACGCGTTCAGCTCGATCGCCTCCAACCGTCTCTGTCCGAGGGCCATGTTCAAGATGAGTTGCGTCATGACTGGGAAGTACTTCTGAATGTCCTTGACCCCCATCAGTTCTCCGTCGGGCTCGGATGCGCCCGCGATCTTCGGGTCTTTCTTCTTAGCGCTGCCTGCCGATGCCGCCCCTGCCCCCGACGCTTTTCGGGGCTGTCGGCCTCCTTGTGTCCGCTGCCCCTGCTCGCGCGGCTCGGCCGCGTCTTCCCCGGGCGCCGCGGGCAGGGCCTGCAACCGCGACGCGAGGGATAGGCCGGGACAGGCGGAAGGTCGACAGGCGCTGCCGGAGCGGGGGGGGGTCAGCAAATTCGATAACACTCCGAATCTGGGCGCGCGAACTGCTTCGGGAGAACGATGGGGCACTTTGGTGTCGCCTTCTGTGCTGTGCATCTCCCATGACGGTACGCTGCTGAGTTATGATGGGCGGCCGTGCGTCTGCGTGCGAATGCGGAGGCACGCGACGGACGCTGATAAATCACTGTGTACTTTGTGAACATGTTTAGCTGGCCGTGCTCGACTCCTCCTCCGCGTGATTGATGCGCGCGCAGTGTGTGCGCCGTGCGAAACCTCGTACCACGCTCCAGGCCGTCTTCATTCACCAGAGAGCATATCTTCCCACCTTTGAAGCAATCCTGGTCCTCGCATTGCCTGCTGGGGGTCTCCGTCGGGGGCTCTTGCCAGTGCTCTCGAAGTTTCACCGTGTTCAACTTCAGGAACTCAGCAGCTCTGGCACCTTGAACGCCCATGAAATCGCCGCCCACGTCTCCCAGAGACTCCGGCACGTCCTCGGGCCGTCCCGAGAAGGACAAATCGCTCTTGAACTGCAGGGCCCCAAGGGTTCGCGCGGCCCCGCGGGGTGACCTCTGGAGCGAACTCTGGGGCCCACTGGGAAATCCGCGGGGCAACGTTCTCGACAGCGACCTTCCCGAATACAGCGGCTTGATACTGGGCCCGACGTTTGGGGCGGTGAGCGAGAGCTTGGTAATGTCGAGGACGACGCGCCGCAAACTCGACGCTGGGGGGAGCGCCCATGATCTATGACCCCACACGGCTTACGCGCAGATGGTCGTGACATTCCACCGCTCTTCCCCTCCCCCATCGCTCAGCTGCCTATATAGACCGCGGCCCCCTGGCACGGCGCACTGGCACGCCTGGCAGCAGCCGAATCGAGCTTCCATTCCTGGCCATTCCCGAAGGCCCTCGCCAAGAGGCCTGAGACCGCAGCGCCGATCACACCGCCCAAAAAGATGAGGCGCTCGCGCCCGGAGAAGGAGCGCACTCCCCGGCGCTTGCCCGCCCCCCCCCCCCCACCCCGCCCGCATGGCCGAGCGCCGCGCCCTGAGCTATTCGTCGTTTCGCCCTGAAGCCTGAGTTATGGGCCCCAAGAAGACTGAGGCGGCCTGCACCTCGCCAGCTATCGGGGACTCATGGTAGTGGAACGCCCTCGTGGATCTCTGCGAACCCCCCCCCGCGAAACAAGGACTCACAGCTGACTTTCTCGACTCTGCGCCAGTCCGATGCGGCTGTGAGCCTCGTCCAAGTAGCCATCCGAGGTCTCAGCCATCGCTGCCGCGCTGCGCGCATCTTGGACCGCGCGCGCGAAGGTCAAGTCGCCCGCGCACTTCCAAGCCTTCATGTCACGCGGTTTTCTGTGATAGGACAGCCCGCGGCCAAAACGCGAGTGCATCCATGGAAAGGAATAGAGAGCGGCGCCGCTGCTGCGTCGGCTGCTCGACCGCGACCCCGAACTTGGAAGCCGCGTCGGAATCGCCCATGCAGCAGCCCAGCATTGCCGAAACTGCCGCCACCGTCGCGCGCGTTCACCGCGCAGGCCGCGCGTCGACGCCAGGCGAGCATGATCTGCGCGTCCTCTGGCTGATACATCTGGTAGACCGCCCCGTCGAGGTGCTCGTGGCAGACGCTGGCAAACGGATTCGCCATGTCGTGATTGGCGATGATGTGGCTAACCTTCGCGGCAGAGATGCGCCACTGTAATGCGTTGCCCACCGCGAGC